ATATGCCCCTCTGACAATGGCTCTAATACCACCAAACCCACCAAAGCTACAAGAAAAAATAAACATGCCCAACAGCATTGAACAGCAGAACAATGAGGCTGCCACCCCAAGTGAAATGCGCATTGTGAATTCCCAAGTGTTGGCAGTCATTGTCAAGCCACTTCTGAACGCTGTCCTGGCTTGGAATAGGCATGTCTGAGCATGCAGCAGGCTCGACTGCTCGGCACCTTGGACACGGCACACCAAAAGCCACCGTCATTTGAGGCCCACAGGGCTGAATCTCGGAATGTGCGAGGACGAAGCCATTCACCGAACACTGGACAAAGCAAGTGTTCAACATGCGGACTGGCAAATAACTTCGCTGTGACGTGCACGTCCGGATAAACTGGCAAAGCCCCGACTGTCAATGACTTCTTACAGGAAAGAAGACCGCCTTCAACAACCAAGGAGAGGCTGGCAAGCATAGCATAGCGTCTCACCCTGCATTAATGCCTGCAAGCACAGGATCCCACGATATTGGCCGAAATGCTCTGACCATTGATTGCAGCTTCTCTCGATACCATGCATCCAAATTGCAACACGAAACAAGGTCGAAATTTTCTGAGCCTCCAAGCCTGCTTCTTTGTGGCGCGCTTTCTCGTTGTTGGCAGATGTGGATCTGCCTTTTGGCACGTCCTGGACAGCGCTTTGGATTGCGGAAAGCAATCCCGTGACAGAAGCCGTTTAGTGCCTAAACCTCAATCCCCTTCTGGAATAGATCCACTCTAAGAGTCTTTTCTCTGCATGTGTTCTGATGTTTTTTCCCGGACGACCCGGCTGAGATAGCCGCTCTCCACTTTGTCAAGAATTCGCAGTACTCTAGGGGTACCTCCCCCATTCTTTCCAGGGATCCTTCTTTTCAGAAAACCATCAAAAAAAAAACGGAAGAAAGATGTTTTTTTGAAAAGAACGATGGTTGAAAAGAATGGAAAAGGAATCAACCCCTAGAAGTACTGTGTCGCACTGCGCTTCGAGCACCGCCAGCCCCAAGCAACATTGGCCCACGTCCTGAGGCTCTGCGCTACCTGCAGTAGCGGAAGGCCCACGTCTGACTTAGAATGTGGGAGCAGGTGTCCTATGTGGGAATTCGCGTTCAGCAAATGGCTGCGGGTCAAAATAGGTACCCCAAATGGAACCCTGGTAAGGGAACCAAAGACTAAAACCTGCGGACCCCTGGTGGTTTAATTTTGACCCATACCCAAATCACCTCTACCCTTTTTCCACAATTTGATGCCCAACTGATGCAAGTGCTCTAACCAGCCAGCGCAGATCGAATGGTGCCAACAACCTTGTCTACATGCGGCTACAGCGCTATTGCAATTGTCTGCCCCCCATTGTGCTTTGAACGTGAGATGGCTAGTTGAAGGATGAGCGACAAAAGGGTGTAGACCGAATACACTCACCAAAATCAGACATTGTGATCATCATTTGGCACTTGGGACAATTCCGACAAATTTGACCTCTGACACACTGAAGTAAACCAATCACACTCTGGTTTACAAAGATTGCACTAATACGTCGCGAAAAGCACCAGCCACATCGATGTGTCGTGCCTTTTCAGCTACAGGGCAGCTTCTGAAATCTGCTCGCCGGGGCCGGCACGGGGCTCAGCTTTCCGGCGCTGCAGCAGGGCGTCGTGTTTCTGGCGCCACTCCCGCTGCACCTGGCACCCCACTTTTTCAGCGCAAGAGGTTGCCAAAGGCTCAGGAATGAGCATGCCTCCACATTCGCAACAGTCGCCCAAGCCTACTAATCCCTTGTCCGTCATTCTGGGTTCTGGAAGTGTGCAAGAGGCTCGAGCCCTCATACGTTCGTCATTAGAATAGTTATCACTGGAATCATGCAGGCGTTTGGGCATTGGTCTAGCCACTCTTCCTACCAGACTAACATTGTGTGCGCTGCTGGTATTCGGCTCGCCTCATGAAGCTTCGATAAGCCACCTGCGTACCTGCAGGAATTGGCTTGGAGATTCATGTGGCTTGCTCTGCAAAACCTGTGAGCAGTAGTCACGGCGCAGGTTTGGTTCTGCCATGGCAGCAAGTCATGCCGATGCCCTCTCACAGGTTGCACCGGCTTGCGATCTTGTTGGCGATCTCTTCAATCTGCGGGAGCTCCTGAACCGCATCGGCAACGACCATGAGGCAATGCTCCGAGCAGGTTTTCATTTTTTCCAGTAGACAGAAACGATGGAAACGCTGCTCGGTGTTTCCCGCTCGCCAACTCTTGGGCCACTCTTATGTAGCTGCCCTCCAGGAGACGGGTGATCCACGCTTTGTGCTCAGTAATACCGGATGACACGAACTTTTCGTGGACTTGAAACTTTCTTGGGAGCGGATCCTACTTGTCTTCGTCCTTCGCAATGCTAGTGACAGCTAAGTTTAGTCTACGCGAAGCAAAGCAATGGGACGCTCTGGGTTTGATAGCGGAGCTTTGGTCAGTGGGATGTCAAACTGTGGAAGTTCTTGTGCTTTGGTCTTTGGGCTAGCTGTTGAACTGGTGTTGTTTTCAGGTCTTGGTCAGCCATAGCTTCAGGCTAGTCACACAAGCTGTGATGTGTCACACTCTTCGGTGGTGAACTTGGCTTTTGTCTGTGGGCCACCTTTGACTTTTTCCTCGTTGGCTTGCAGGGCCTGTTGCATCTCCTTCAGAGTCTATAGCTCTTCTCGGGATGCCAATCGTTGCAGCGTTTCGATGAAGCGTCCATGCCTGGCACCTTTGCCGGGGGAAACGCATTCCATTTTGCGGAGGCGAAAAACTCCAGCTTGGCATCCCCCTCACCTGTCTGTCTGCGGTCGGCCTGGATACCTCAATTTCATTTCTTTTCGGCATGTGGGTCTGAATCTTGATTAGGGACCCCTTGGTGGACATCAAAATTCGGTGGTTCACCACCCATTTTAGAACCTATTTTAGTGGTTGGATTGAATCGGATGTTCATTGGGGGTACGGGCTTTGGATTTTGACCCATGGCCATGCGAGTGTCCTCGCCGGAGCTCGCTGCAGTGGGCACCCATGCGCTGATGCTGGCGGCCTGGGAACTCTGGACAGGCAAGATGCAGCAGCAACGCATGCAAACCCAAAAACACGCTGAACAACAAAAGAAATCATGAAATCCAAAAAAAACGCATGCTGAATCTGGCAACAACAGAAAACTAAAGCAAACCTCCCCCCCCCACGTTGGCCGAACAGAGTGGGACATGATCAAGAAACTGAACATGTACCAAGGCAGTGGAAGCGTGTTGACATAAGAAGTGACCATCATTCAAGGTCGGTGAGCTCGCGTCCAAGCCTCCCTGGCCAAGCTGGGGAGAGCCGTGTCCAGGGATGAGCTCGGTCCAGCCTCGCAAGGAAACCGCAGCCGGCATTTCGCAGCCCCCGATGCTCCAAAGGCAGCCCTGATCCAGGGATGCTTGTACAGACCCCTTTCACATACCCCTTGAACAAAGGAACCCAGGCCTGCTGATGTTCATAGCCCTCTCCCCAAAAGGGGTATATACCCCTTGTAAAGTGGGTTGGAAACCACGGAAGCCAAGGGGTATGAACAAGGGGTATGTACTTCCACCCTTACACCTGAGCAGGCGACTCTCCACGGCTCCCGCGGCGCTCTATGCACCACCCTGCGGATGTTCAAAGGATGAAGCCAAAACCGGAGCTAAGGCAAAAGACTGCTTGAACTAGGATTATCAACAAACCGCCAAATTCAGCGTGCCACAAAAAGAAACTGCCGGGGAGCAAGTTGGCGCTTGAAGACCCAACTCTACTCCAAAGATCTTGAACGGGGCACCTTGCAACAAAGCAACCAGAGCAAGCGAGCGGTTCATGGAGCCCTTAGGTCCAAGTGGCTGTGGCTCAACAAGACTTACGAAAATGGCAACTTGGCAGATAGAACCAAAGGCTAAGACCTGCGTAACCCTAGCTCTTAAATTTTGAGCCACACCCAGCTGTGGCCCAGCGCAGTGTGCCTCTTCGGTGCCAAGCTGAAAGGCAGCTTTACCGGCGCAGATGGCTGCCGGAAAGGCCTGGCCCAGCTCGTGAGAGGGCGGAAGCGTCGCCAGACGAGCGTCGATCAGGCTCCCAGTTGGCAATCAAAAGATGAGCTGCCGCAGGCGAGATATCCATGTAAAACAAGCAAAGCATGGCACGGGTGTCTACAAAAGTGAGCCAATGCATCATTTCACTTCAAACTGGCAGCTTTGCTCCCTGGAAGTGTGCTTCAAATGGTGCTCTGCGGTTTGCAGCAGGAACCAACAAAATCCAATGGGCTGTTCTCCACCGGAGCGAACAGCTTGCCCTTGGCAGCTTGTGCCAATTGAAGCATGGCACAACCCATGCCGGTGTTGCCCATCCGAGATATCCGCCAGGCCATCTGACAAGGATCCATTCATGACTCGAGGCTTGGTTGAATTGGTGTCTTCTTCTTTGATGTTCACATCTGCTCAAAATATTGTTAAGAGCATCTCTTTTATCACGCAGATCCATGTTCAACTGTTCTTGGTTAGGGTTGGATCAAAAGAACTGCACGCAATGCAAAAGAGCTCTTCTGCCGAAAGCGCCGTGGCACGCCATCCGCATCACTTGCCACATCAACGCTTGACACGGCTCCGGACTTGGCCTTGGCCGTGGTGTGGCATAGGCCAAAAGACACGGTGCTGCAGCCAAACTGAGAAAAGGTGTGAAGGGCTTGCTGGAGCATCGTTGGCTAAAAATATAAGGCACAGTAGCTTGAATGCTAGAAAGAGCCTCAACCGCGTCTGCCACTACTGAACTCAACCGCCTGTCTGAAAGTCTGCCACGGGTAGCAAGCACAGCATCTTCATAGCAAGTTCGCTCAATGCAAGTACTTCCCAAATGCTTGCAGAAGCATGACAAAACATGTTGGATATTTGAGTGACGAGTCACTATCATGATGAGTTGTGTCGTCTTCATGTCGCGCAGCACAAACATCCAAGTATTCTCAGCCTTTT